ACTCGCAGGGGGATTAACAGCTGAGGCAACGATAGAGTCGATCGCCAACTTGAGAGGGAAGTTAGTACATATTTTCCATTAAAGGTATATCTGGAATGAAGATATTCTCTTACCTGAGTTTGATCTCCTGGTCGACGGAAACCACCTTGCTGATTGACTCCAAACATTGGTGGGCCAAGCGGTGGAAGCTTTGCTACGACCTTAAAACAACTTATGTCAGCATATCACCTGAAAACAAAATGCTCTCAACGTACCTTATTCGGAATCATAGGAGTAGCAAACTCTGGCTTTGGTGAACCATGCTGAAGTTCTGGAACAATGATGAGTCCTTCTGGACCTTGGTGACGAGGAATACCATTAAGAGCGGGAAGCTCATCAGCTGGAAGAAGTCTTGTGTAAGAGCCATCGGCTCGGCGAATGCCATAAGCAAATGCAGAGCTGATTTGTTCAGGAAGAGGATAGACAGGACCGGGGCGAACCATGGTCAGCGGAGTGAAACCTTCTTGACCTGTGTAGGCCGGGTCGCAGACAGAAGGGCGGCGCCAGCCGTTGCCGTTGCTGTTGCCGTTGCTGTTCATGTTGCTCATGTTGCCGTTGTTGTTCATGCCCATGTTCTGAATAGGGATTTGGCTGGGCACTGTTCCGTTTCTACGGATACGTTCCTCACGCTCGCGAGCTGAATGAAAAGGATCCATTTTGTCTGGAGTAAGACTACGGGTACTATCATTATCGATCGAGGTTAGCGGTGAAATCATTTCTGTGTCGGTCGCATCAACTGCGTCACAACTCTCGTGAGAAGACTCAGGAGAGCTGGAAAGTTTGGTTTTAGAACACATTTTGACTTGAGTTGACATGTTGAATATTTGATAAAGGTTGAAGTATCAGAGTATGAAGAAGATTTGAAAACTAAAGGTACGAACGGTGTATATTCGCAAAGTATTGAATTGAGATTGTTGGAGATCCTGGAAAATGATTAATCGAATTAGTCAACACTCTTAAGAATAATAACAAGGATAAAGAATGATTCTTGGAACAGACCTCTAATAAGGATTCTTCTAGAGCTTTGATGAAAGCTTCTGATGAAACTTCCCCGTTTGCTCTTCCAAATAAGGTTGGAAGCCTGCGGATAGCTGCACTTGTTTGCGGTAAGCCACAGGCCACAATTCTTCTGTTAAAAACAGGGGCAAGCTGCAGGGACAACGATGAGAAATTAGATAGCTTACCTTACTTCCAAGGATTTTGAAAGATCACTTGAAGACCTATGTAATTGTAAGTTGATGACCAAGGATACTTGTGGAGGAAGAAGTTGCTAGAAACAGAAACTGGTGCTCTGCAGCAAACGCACACACTGCTTTGATTAATTTCTCCCAAAAGAAAATGATTCAAGAGTTTTTAAGTTTGATGTTTGTTGATATTATTGACAAGGAGCGCAATGTGATGCCATGGCAGACATACCAAAATTAATAAGGTGAGGAGTATCGATATACGTACAAATGATGTGATAGAACTGTTGAGCTATCGGGTTGAACCTGTAAATCAACAGGTCTATTGTTTGAATGCAAAAAGGTATGTTGAGGTTTCTGGTTTGTATGTTGCGATCTTGGGTTGCGAATTTGAGACAGTTACAATTTGAGGATGTAACCACAGCAATCAAAACGCAATAAAATTTGTACAGGAAAAGGGGAAGAAGTAAGGCAATTTGCTTTTAGGAAGCTCTATCTATGATAGAAGAAGACAGGAAAGTTCAGAAAAGGAAGTAGCGTGTTGAAAGTACTGAGTTATTTCATCTGGAGGTAGTTGTAAGGTCGAGATAAGAAGTAGCCAAGCCCAAAATCAACTCAGGTGTAAGCACTTTAAAAATTGACTGAAATTAGGGCTTAGCACATCTTTCTCGTTACTGCCAAGGACCCAGCAGCAAATACTTCGAGTGAATTTGGGAATTTATCACATGAGGGGGCCGAGGTCTTCCTCAACCTCCACTCTGCGAGGGAGCATTCCGGTCCTGCCAATTGAGATGGTCCAAGTTAATCTTTATAGATGATAATCCTATAGAGTGAACCTTTTGTAGCACGTCTTATCTGTGAATTTCATGTTTAGAACGCCATTTGGGGGTAGATCTCTTTCAGGCTTGAAATTCTATAAAGATATTGAATTCTGCGATTACATGTCATAATTGAATGTGGTCGGTTAGAAAAGCTTTCTGCATATGCTTGCGCCTTCGTACTCCATAAACATATGTAATTGAGCAGGTGTACTTTTCATGGTCCAAAATATGTGTCGCATACCTCTTTGAGGTCATCATAGCTGTGGTTTACAACTAGCATCTTTAGAAGCGAAAACTCGGTGATTCATGCAACTGCCACCACGAGAAGCTCAAACACTAGATTCTCCAAGGTTTTAACTCCGCTGATGTTTGTATATGGGCACTTGGTGAATTTTCGATCCGAACCTCCAGCCCACAGGCTCGATATAGCCACTTTCCTCTTGGTAATCATCTGTGGTTGGATTTGTGAATAGGGGTTTTGCAAAAAAAAAAAAAAGATTTTCATCCCTGAAAGCCGAACGACTATCATCTTGTTGCCATGTCTATGTTATTGGGGTTAGACTCCAAAGGAGTTTCTGTGGCAAAAAGAACAAGAAAGAACAAGATCCAGAAATATGCGCGCCTCGATATATCTTATCAAGGCTACAAAGGTCAATCTATGTGTACTTGGACATAGTAAAAGAAACAAGACCCCTTTAAGAGCCACTAGGCCATGAATCATCACCAACAAAAGAACTTTTGTTACATGGATGTCTTCTGTCTATGTGGCTTTGAATGGTATCATTTGAGGCTGAGCTGAGCTTAATGCAGCAATAATATCTCAACTCAAACTTTGGCATACTTCTGAAACGCATGGAATACAACACTTTTAAACAGCAAAGGAGAATTGCAATGATGTTGAGTTCAGAACCACTCGGATCTAAGATGATCTTATCCCCTAAAAACCTTCTTGGTTGCTTTTACGCGGCTTTCGATGTGAAATGTAAAAGATTCTTAGAGAAGCAGGAGAAGATTATTATTTCCGTTCTGTGACTGCAAGTTTAGGTTCATATGGCCCAAGGTACAATATTCTTGTCAAGATAAAAAGGCCTGTGTCCTGTGAAGAGGCAGTACACACTGAGAAGCACTTGATAGAACTGTTGACAGAAAGCTTTCGAATGTCAGGGGAGATATGGCGGTTGCCAAAAACTAAATCTCATGAGGTCTTGGGATTGGTGGTTTTCTAATCATGCTCGCGCCGACAGTGTCATCAACCCGCGAACCAGAATCCAAAGTCGCTGCTGATATTTACTAGAACACAAGAAACGTACATCCAGTGAGGATGTCGGGACCGATTTCTGAGAAAGCGTCCAATTTTTATGTCTCCCTGCGATCTTCGTTCATCATCTATGAATAGGCTAGTTGTCAATTTCTGTCACAAACTATGTTGGTTCAAGACATACGAAAACTTCTCGTAGAGAGGCCTGAAGCAGTGGTCTACTTGAATTTGTCAGAACAAGCTTGTCGCTGGTCAGTGCGAGATAATCAGGCTGTGGTTGCTTCCCCAAGTGCAGGAATAAGAGGAAGACCCTCGACTTGCTATATGATGAGGAGGACGCTTTGGGACTTCAGTGTTATTCACTTGATGAAGTCGTTCTGTGGTTCTACTGATGAGTTCTCTGGACCAAACTGTTTTCCCGATCACAGACGCTGAATTATATATACTCCAGAGCTTCCATGTCATAAAAAATTACCGTATGTTGAAGATTAGCCTCGTCCAGCTATGATTCATTGCCATGGTATATAAAGCGCAAGGTACAAAGTGCTCATCGGGTATCATCAGCTGGACACAGGAGTGCAAGTTGCTGAAAGTACCATTATCCATAATCGTGCGCTGTCAGACAGTCATTCCAATACAAACCAAAAATCTCGTCCAACCAAGGGGGGCAGAAGAGGGGGAGGGGGCGTATAGTATTATGACACGATCTTTGTCTGTTACCACGTGGAATTTTGAGCAGAAGATCGGAGATTGCCGGAATTACTTTATTGTCTCGTGGAACTTCGGATGGACCTCAGAATGGTAGAGGATTTTAATGATATTAGAGGCAATGAGAACGTTCGGGGTTCTACACCGATGGAGTGTCGGCACCAATCTAGTTCTCGAACTTCATGAAGTACGGTTTTGCGGCAGATAGTTGATGTCAAGGCTTCATGACCAACTCTGATTCTCAGATCAAGTCGGGTCTTTGCTGTAACTTCTTATCAAGAGGCCCACGTAAATATTTGCGGATATGATGGAGCCATAGGACTGGTCTTTTGTATCAATCTTGAAGACATTGAGAAAGTGGGCATGGTGCTGAAGCGCTGTTAAGTTGAGAATTGATTAGAAAAGTGACCGTTTAGCCATGTGCTGAAGACTGGTGCTTGCTCTGAGGTATTGCTGTTGATAGTAGAATATGAAGCATGGTGCTTTGCAGGCCTGTAGGGCAGGTCCAGACTAAAGTTCGACTTTTGCAATTGGCATTCGAGGCAGCCTTGTAGTATTTTTGCAAGAAAATTCGAGAGTGATATAGCTGAGCCAATTGCCTATTGCCTATTGAATGTTACCTATCCAACTGCGATGTATATACCTATCTGCGACACACCTATATATAGACGGGGGGAAGAATTTTCGTTCTCAGCGGCACAATCGAAGAACTGGAGGAAGAAATCCGTATCGCCGATACTTTGATTCATGTCGTCGCAGGGGTTCTATCGTAAATGGCCATATCGATTGGGAATCTTCGAAAACTATGAAGTATGCCAGTTAGCGGATTCTTGTAGGTAGTGAAGTATGTATGCATGATGATGGGGGGTTCCCGAGCGAGTCTGTGCAACCCTGGATGGCGATTTGCAGGGTTACATGCGCAAACAATTGAGGTGGCTGATTGCATGTCTCGGGTATTACCATCCATCCATGCCGTCCCAGAAAATAGACATGCAACGTCAATCATGTGGTTTCAATTGGAACCACGATGGAAGTGGAAAAGGGACCGACCTTTGGTTGGTGTTGATGTTGAATACCTACCTAGTAGGTAAGGACAGCTGAATGATTGAAGAAGTGAAGACGCTCTGACACCATCTCTTAGCTACTCGAGGCTACCTTCCCAATGAGCAATGCTCTATTTCGAGTGTGGGCTGATTCTCACATGGGCAATTTACATCTTCTTGCTATGAAATGGGAATCAAATTTGCCGGAAATGCCTCTGAGTTATGCATTTGGCAGTTAAGAATATGATATCCACCAGCAACTAACCTAGATACCGATCGTAATTATCCACGACTTTCTTGTTCGGTGTTCTGGACAGGAGGATTCTTCTCGGTGTTCTGGACAGGAGAATCTCTCAACCATAAGAATCCTCTTTACTCCCAACGTTTCAAGGATTTACACATCATAGGTGCAGAATTCATCACAATGGCACAGAATCTCAGCAGCGTCTTGAGGTCTCAAGAGATGGAAGTTACTGGAGACTCCAATGACATGACCGAGTCTGCTCACGACGGACTCATTATCATTGCATTGGGCCTTGATAAAAATGCAATTGCGTGGGGAATGCATCAGCCATGGAAAATCTTAGGATTGTAAAGCTGAGGTTTATCAACATCTAATTCCTGAATAATAGCAAGCAGGTCCACAGGACAAAGATGAAATGAGGAATGCTTACAGAAGGCCAAGTATCAAAGAGCAATTACTCCCGGGATTGAGAATCCAGACTTCAAGTGAGCTCTTAACCCTATCACTCTAGATTTAACTACGTAAATGCTGCTAATATAACATGAGAAAATACGCACAAATCTGCGTCTGACAACACCATCTCACAGTCCATTGTACTTGTATCAATCAATGGATCTACATCCACCAACAACCACGCGATTCCTTCTTTTCTATCATCCTTCTCTATCATTAAGGGGTATATCTGTGCCAATGTCTGAATTTTGTTGCAGAGTTTAAAAACCTTTCTCATTTTGCACATCTAGCAGTTCCAACTCCAACCACATTCGACGAGAGACATGATCAAATCCACCACTTTTCAACAATTTATGATCAACTTGCAACACCCTCTCGACCCTAACTTCAAAAATCTTGTTATGATTTTTGAAAATGTATGTATCCAGTGCAAGGAACCTTCGAGTGGATATAATTTAGCTTTGTTCTTATTTTCAAAAATGTACCCTTTTTATCTCAACTTTTTCTATCCTTGTACTACTGTTGCATCAAAAATCTTTCTGCAATGAGTGGTACAGCCCCAGTATTTTTTGATAACAGCTTCTCATATTTGTTGTTGCTTTTGAATTTTTCTGTTTTTGCTGAACACATTTGATGAGATGCCTGTCTATGTGGCCTAAAAGAGCAGAAATTCGTAGTTCTTAATCTTGTCTTGTCAAAGCTCCTAAGGTTGTAGTTTTTTCTGTATGCAGAGTCTTTGTAACTGTTAGCTCCTTCTCTCAAAGCCTCTGCATGATATTATTCCATACCTTGAAATGCCTTTAGATACCCAGTCCACCTTATCAAAGCCAATTAGGCTTCACTTGTTTTGTGGATAAACCCTTTGTAATTGTTAGCTTTGTCCAACTAAAAGTTTACTGGGAGTTAATGGTTATTATTGTCTCCTTGTAGTAGCTCAATACCATCTTACCGAAGCTGCTAAGGATGCCAGTATTTGGTATTCAAGTCCTTTACATTTATTCGTCCTGTTTCATTGATAGTCCACAGAACTCCTTTTCTAATTTTCGAAGTCTCCTTGAATCGCCCACAATGTCCTATCAGAGCTTTCCAGAATCTTTATTCTCCAATGTATGATTCCTAACTTTTAATAGTATGAGCAATGAGTGAATAGCCCATTCAAAAAATCTGACACGGGTCAAAGAAGACTTCCCATTTATTATTTGTCGTCGATCTGTAGCTCTCGTTGCCAATCGCTTGCTGTTCGCTAGCCGTTCAAAATCACAATAAAGCACATAGAAATTTGATCATAAAAGTTGTGTGTGGGAAGGAAGACTGGATTGTGAATTAAAGCAAGTCTCTTTTCCCGCAGGCGCAGGAGACACTATTATCCTTCATCCCTCCAGCGGTAGGGTGCGAGCCAGACCAATATCTCGAGTATCTTCTCCCTCTAGAGCTCGACCAGCTCCGCCAGCAGTAGCATTTTCAATATCTCTGGCAGCAGCGGTTCCTCCTTCCCTGTCGCCGTCACCATAACCAAAGCTAGCACCGCGTCTTTCACGTCTTCCCATCTCATAGTCGTGGACCTCTCGGGCAAGAGGATCGTTGTGATACTCTCCAAATTTCTGGCAGATGTAGTATAGGAGGAGCTAAGCAACCAGTCATTAGTATAAATACAAATCTAAATGCTGCAAATTTGCGAAAAGCCCTTGAAATTGTGCTGAAAGCATTTGATAATACACGTACAAGAGCGCAACCGACAATGAGAAGCGTCAACACGGTTCCGGTGGGGAACTGATCCATCTTGATGAGCTAGTGGCGAATACTGTGCGAGAATGACTTTGATTTGTCAATTCCGAGGATTTTGAATTGATTGATAATATTTGTGGTTGTTTTGGCACCTTTCAACCTTTCAATAATCTAATGAGTATCTACCATGAAGTTCAACCGATCCTATCCAAGCGGTCAAAATAACTGCGCTAATCGCCTCAGATACCTAAGTTTCTGTCCTTCCTCTTGTTTCCTAAAACCTCACGAGGTTGCGATAACCTTTCTGAAGCTTTTATTGGCTCTTCAAATTCACATATGGGCTTTCTAGCACATGACACAGGTACGCCGGAGCTATCCATCATCTCAATCTCTTCTGTTGCATGTCTGTAAAATTAGTGGGGCTTTCAAATGTACTAGGTAGCCAATAAAATTCATCCAGTTTACAGAATATTCGGGCTAGCATATTGAATATAGAATAAGTCGGGTCCTCTGACTAGCTCATTTAAGAACGGCACTAGAGTTTCAGATGAGCAACATAAAGGCGTATTCACATTTGTTTAATCAGTCGGCCAGTTACAAGAGAAGATAAAAGAGCCTCTCCATATCATTTCTCGCATTAAGATCCCGTATCTAGCTAAACCAATTAGAAATAAAAAGTACCTCTTAATTGTCGCATGCCTGAGATTTCAGCCCTTGAAATTGGTATTCAGTGGTACGCTAGCTTTACCAATCAATCAAATTCCAATTTGGGTTATTGATTTGATAGGATGCGCCATTAATCTCAATCAGGTTCAAGAAATTTGAAGTTTCCTTCAAGACCTAGACTTATTGATTGTTTGGAAATCGCAAATTCACATCTGAAATTTTAAAGCATGATCAAACAACTCTAGTAAACTGACGCCTCATAATCAATAAACAAACAATTCAACAAATCCCTTTGCAAATAGTTCATGGATTATTGTTTGTTAATAGTTGAACTATAGTATCACTCATTGCTTGCCAAGTTTTCGCTTATAGCCGAGTGAAATACGGGGTAAAATATGTTTTTCTACTTACAAACCTTGACTCATTAACACAACACAACAAACAATGTTGAGGTTCTTGGAAAATAATGAACTTAATGAATCCTACAGTTCTATTATTAGATCAATGCATCTGTGTATATATTGCGTCATCCTGCCTTCACAACATTGCTCAATACTTTTATCTTCAGCACTCTGGTCCAGGGTTGAAAACTCTTCAGAAGTGTATCTATTAACATATTCTTCAATCTAAAATGGTTTCTGCATATACTATTAGAGTATCTTATGCTAGATACCGCATTTCGTGTAATATAAACGTAAATACTCATGGCTTAATTATTCCGAACAACTCGATTGCCATACCACGCCACGGCGATAGCAACACAGTCTCTCAGAGTAAATCAAAGTCAAACTCTTCACCTGGCCCTAGCCGGAGTTCGAAAAAGCAGAGAACTCTGTCGATTGTTAGATGTGCAAGGTGTCAAAACTTTAGTATTGGCAGATGCAAAGATACGAGCCCCTCAAATAAGTGAGCTGTCTTTCATTCAAAGGCTCAGAGCAGCACCAGACTGCAAATCATAGTCAGTTCTTGAAAAAATCATCGGACTATTGTAAACTAACACATTATAATACTGCAGATTTGAGAAACGTGCAGTCTGTAACAGCTATTTCTTAAGCCCCGATCGTTCGTATCAATCTCAATACAGACAAAAACAAAAAAGAAAACGGACCCGGCTTACACCTCAAGAGCGACCTCTATATACACAGACATTTGAAACTCAGCTCTCATGGTGGTGGCGCACTCATTGTCTTCATTGCTCGATCAACTCCCGCAACTCCACAGCAGGCTAGATATTGGTGACTAGACCAGCTCCTATGAGATTGGTACTTAATATCCCACATTCTGAACATCTGATCTATAACTATACATCCAGCGATCTCAAGATCTTCATAAAACCGGTCAACATCAACGTCAGAAATCAAGCAATATGTCGCGCAAACCGAGTCAGATACGCACGCAATTTCACGTCTATTTCCATTAACGGAAAGGCAACAACTTCATGATGGCAAATACTCGGCTTCCCGCAGACCTCCTCTCAGAGCACGCCAACTCAACAAGAAAAGGACCACAAGCTACAACAGATGAATGGGCTACATGGGAAATCTACTTTAACGAGAACCCGACATTTACCGCTACAGCCACAGCTAGAAAGAACCATATTGGTCTGTTCACCACCACTCTGCCCATCTCAACTGCTACCAGCTTGAGTGCTTGATTATTTGTCAGGGTGAATTCTATATATCGGCACATATAAACCCACGAGTTGGACACAACATTCCCAGAATTATCTGCATATCGCATCCTGCGAACCCCAAAACACATTAAGAGCAGGAGTATCATCTCACAGTTATTTTACAAACACTACACACATTTCATCATTTCTCTCAGGAAAAGTCCTATCATCCTACCACGAGACCAACCAGAAATCCCCAAAGCACACGAGCACTTTTCAAACCAACACCACGGCCTCAATGAAAAACGTTTGAGGACTCATTGACTGCTTTCTTTAGACATGGAAACACAAGTCGCGTTGTTTCGAGTGTCGAATCTAGAAGTAGTCTACTACTATAGAAATCAAAGCAAGTATTGATTGATAGGTACAAGTCGGCACCACGAATCTCAATCAGACCGACTCTGGTCTCTCGATCGAATGCAAGAAAACTAGCAAAGAAACTAGTGATACTGGTTTTGTGATTAGTTCCTCGAATACAAAATCGACACATGTGATATGCATGGGATTTTATACTGGGTGTCCAGATGCTGACAAGAGGATGAGAAATCTTTCAAATCGAAAACTTCATGTGTAATATGGGATATACTGAACAGGCAAGGAACCAATTATCAGCAATAAGCGATTAAATATAGCAGAGAAAGACATTAATTCCGGAGTAGGAAGTCTTCTTAGCCGCAGGAGCCGGAAACCCATCTCAGAGCATGCAAAAAATCAGAAGCCGAGAAGATGAAAAGATTACAGATGACCCGGTCATATACTCTCCCTAGGAGAAGAACAATCAGGAAGATTAGAATAGTATAGAACAATATCAATCATGCATCACATCATAAAGTTTTCCTCTCTGTGAGACACTACAAATTCGACATCTTATTTATTTCATATTATCTAGATGATATTTTCCTCAGACACACAGATTCTTAATTTGAGCCCACACATTCAAATCATCGATCATACCTAGTATCTCTAATGACGATGCTCAGTAAAATTACGATCCATGTTCGTCGGCCCCAACTCGAAGTGCTATCCCAATCCTTCCGCATACATGAAGCGCGAATCTATTATCAAAATTCTTTATTTGAGATTAATCCATAACATTTCTCTTCATGCTTACATCCGCATCTGGACTTCTAGTATCGGGTTTCATCTAGCTACCGCGTCTTGTATCAAGACACTTTCGATTCTCTCTTTGTGATTTCCGGCACAATCGCATGTTTGTGTTTCCGATTAAAATTAATTCGGAATCTGGAGTTGTAAGTCTAATGATGTAGTTATACTGCACAATCTCATTCCTAGAGAAACTCGACCTCAGCGCCCGGAGAAAGAATCTCATGAGAGAGAACCAAAAATCCTTTTGTGAGTTTACAATTTACAAGCTTTTGGGCATGCTTCATGAGAGACAGAGACAGAGACAGAGACAGAGACTGAGACAGAGACAGAGACAGAGACAGAGACAGAGACAGAGACAGAGACAGAGACAGAGACAGAGACAGAGACAGAGACAGAGACAGAGACAGAGACAGAGACAGAGACAGAGACAGACAGAGACAGAGACAGAGACAGAGACAGAGACAGAGACAGAGACAGAGACAGAGACAGAGACAGAGAGAGAGAGAGAGAGAGAGAGACAGAGACAGAGACAGAGAGAGAGAGAGAGGAATTTTGAGTTCTTTCCATCCATCTTACCATATACATCTTAATTTTACATTTACTTGAATATGAGCGCTTTCACTTCTAAGTGCCAACGATATGTCCATTCCGCCAGACACGCAGGAAAGTTTTTTTCTAAATCTAAATCTAAGACAAAGATAAAGGAGATTATGATGACATGGAGCAAAGTGCTATTCTTAAAAATATCAATCATGTTCTGGAAATGCAGGAATAAATGGATGATTGAACTATGGTGTTTAAGATGCGATTATACATATTGTAGTATGATGCACATGGAATGTAGTTTGGCAACCCAGAGTCAAGAAGAAAGAGGGTTATTTATAGGGATAGGCGAAATGTAAAATATCTGATGATATTCTATGTGTGTTCTATTTGTACTATCCAACCATAAACATGACCGCATTCACGAAATGTACTTGGAATAAAGCTCCTAAGAATTCGTAATAAGAGGCCATGACTTCAAGATTGTGATGAATCTTAATTGTAGTTAGGAGGGAATAAAACAAAATTATTCATGTAAAGCAACGGGGTAATGCTGAATATGCGTATATAATCATTCGTGTAAAGCAACGAGAGAATCCCAAATAAACGCATATAAATATATCTATCTATCTATCAAACTTCCAACTCGATACATCTTTCTTGTATGATAAGATCTTACAATACAATATCCAAATTTCACATGAAGACTCCCCCATGAGAGGATTGTAACAAAACCTTTCATTAATCCATCTACACGACATCCATTCCTTCCACATCAAATCACAGAACACATGCACAGAAATCAAGAATCCACTTACCCCTCCCTCCCCCAAACAGCCAAAACCCACAAGTCCAGAGTACTAAAACGAAACATCCCCTCCCCTTTCTCCAACCCACCAAATCTATTCGATTCATGTGGCATTATAATCATGACTCATACCTACAGCCCGAGCCCGAGCCCCAAACTCCAAACCTCAAGCCCCAGAGTACGTCACCCACATCACCCCCACGACTAATAAAAGCCATCTGATTTTCCCCAGATTCTGATCTTCATCTCTATCTTCAGAGAGCCAGGTAATTAGATAGGTAGGCTCACAGGTACCTACTGGTACGTATACCATACCCAACTCGCCACCTCTAAGAACCCGCCTCTACGTAACCGAAAAAAGCGGCGGAAATTGATCACTATTTAAAAGAACTCCAATAACTAAGATCTTTTTTTAATATAATATTAAATAATCAAACACTTAACAATAATACAGAAAAGACTCAAATTTTCATTTACTTTTTTCAAATTTCAATATTTAATTTGAAATGAATTTATAATCTATTAAAAAAGATCTTTGAAATGGTTCTCAATTTCCGCCGCTTTTTTCGGTTACGTAGAGCCCGCGAACCCCAGATTCTCCAAACCTCCGGATCCCAGAATCTTTAGGATAATTCCCGACAAAACCTAGTTTCAAATAGACAGATGAATGCAGAAAATCAAAAAATCATATACATACCATCTATCTCTAAATTTCCAATCTCCAACATAGTAAACACGACTGAAATCCCCAATCCCCAATCCCCAACACCTTCTTTCACTCCCTGACCCCAACCTCTCCCCAGCACCCAGCCCAGCACCCACCTCAAAACCCAAAATTCAACTCGCCATCAAAACGCCACATACAAAGCCAATTAGTAATTAATTATCAGCATAACGCACAATCTCCACGAGGCCGGATAATGCGGGGTCCGGGGGAGCGAGCGAGCTAGGCTTTCTTGGCATTAGTTTATTTTATTCTTGTAAGGAAATAAGTAAGTAAGTAAGTATCTAAACAAGTAAGCAAGCAAGCAAAGTAGAAAGTTAAATATCAAAAACGGAAAATAAGAAAAGCGGTTATATACGGGTTTATTTTTTACTGGGGGAAGGGGGAAGTAGAGTATTATCTAAGTATAATAGATACTTTATATACAGAGGACTATTAGTTATACGAGGAATTATACGAATAGTAATCTTATATCAAAAATTAAATAAGTAACTACCTAGTACCTAGTATATATAATGTGAAGTATATAATACGATACCTAGAAACGATGAGATGAGATGAGATGAGATTTATATCATCTACCTCTAGCTAAATTCGCAATCACGTTTTTGATAATTGGATCGTTTGTTGGATTGTTGATATATGGATGGGATGAGATGGAAATGTGCTTCTTCTGTGTGTAAGATCTTATGATTATGTGTAATCGGGGGTTCATATTTATTCACCCCCTTATCATTGGTACAATGGGGGGTGAAGAGGATCGTAACCCCCGATTATGTCAATACATACAACTGAAACGCGAAACTCACACCTCACTCACCCTACTCACCTCACATCGCCTCATCACCAATCCCTCTGTTTCAATCCCCCTTTTGTATACCCCCTTTCAATACCCCCATCCATCTTCTCAGTAACAACGAAGAAAACAAAACAAATCAAATCAAATTAAATCAATATTCCCATTCTCTAACCTCCTCTCCCCTCTCCTTCTCCCCTCCCCCCTTCTCCTCCCCTCCCCCCTTCTCCTCCCCTCTCCTCTCTCCCTCTCTCCATACATATAAACCAGAAACTCCCACACCAAACCCATCAATCACTAGGTAGGTAGATAATCCATTCTCTTAACCGGTTACACAATCAAAATCTCCTTTAGGATATACATATAATACATCTCATCTTACATATCCATATATACACATAACATCTCAATACTCCACTCCATTTCCACTCCATTTCCACTTCCTTTATATTTCTCCACCCATCCACCCATCCACACCTCCACTCCCTATAATCCCTCAAGTCCATAGTCCGTACTCCACAGACTCCATGAAAATGAAATGAGGGAATTACGGAGTATTCATTCTATTCATCCATTCCATCCATTCCATCTCCAAGATCCTTTCCACAATATCCAGAACCTCACAAGTCACCAGCTCAATCCACCCAAAAAAGAAAAGCAAGGCAATCAGAATCAGAATCAGAATTAGAATAAGAAAACGAAAAAGGAGTAAGAGAGAATATTAAGAAGTTAAAAGTGTCTAGGTACTTACGAGCCTGTCCTGTCTATCGAGTAATGAGACAGACCCAATATCCGGGAGCGGGGAAGGTATGCTGTGCTGTATGTACTCATATATGTATTAGATTTCTAGGTACCTAGGTAGTGTTTTAACGATGATGATGATGATGATGATGATGATGATGATGATGATTGTGCCGAGTGGGGTATTGGCGGGAGTTGAGTTGGCTCGGTTGGTTGAACGGTTAGTAATAATAACCTTGGTGGCCGACTGACTGACTGACTTGCTTTAATCCAAGAAAAGAAGATTCGCTCGAGAGTTTGAAATTTGCATAATGATTATTAATTGTAAAGATTGAGATTCAGATTGGATTGAGATTTGTATTAATCGTATTGTACTGTATCGTATCGTATACCCAAGTGTAATACATAAATCTTCACCACGAAGAAATATCCTACTCAACTACCTAAATACTAACTAAATAACCAGTTTCCCCTTCGTACAGAGTACATCTTTCCTTCCTGCCTGCCTTCCTTCCTGCCCCTGTCTCCCCAAATATAGAAAAATCCGGGGTATCATAGTGTTGCTAGGTAGGTATTTTGCGTGATAACCTTGTTATAGGTAATATACATTGCCCTGATACATGCATGCAGCGCCAATCGCTCATTCAAGCGAAGAAACAATGGAAATCAAAATGAAAATGAAAATCAAAATAAAATAAAACTTTTTAGGTGCCCCCGTTTCCTTTCCTTTCCCTTCCTGCCCATTTACCATTTGTGACTTGTGGATTTATTTCCCCTCCCCGTTTGTTGCGCCGTTTGTGTTGAATGCGATGAGATGAGATGAGTGGTTGTAGGTATGTATTAAGAGGGAGTGAAGTAGTAATGTAATGTTGAAAACGCCATCATAATGCTTTTAAATGTTGAACTGCGGAGGTATGCCCTTCTGCCCCAGGTCAAATCCATGCAATGTATAGTACCGCGCCGCGAAGAAAAAAATCATAGGTATCGTAATGCACATGCATGCAGAATAATCCAAGTCTCGAGACTTCTATTCTATCCTTAATCACGACGGAAAAAGAAAGCGAAAAGAGATTCTCTCAACTCCTACGCCGTTCTCGTCGAATTCCTCGAAGTCCAGCGCTCGAGAAATCCTCCACTCCGCGCACTGCGAATACTCCCATTGCTGTCCTCGGAGCTGGTCGAGCTCTTGCGTTCGCTGGCGGGTCGTCCGCTAGTGTAGTTTCCGGCGCCGCCCCGTCCAACGTGCCACATGCCTCCTTCGCTCATCTTCTTTTCGCGGGTGCTCTGTCGCTCGAGTTCTTCGTCGAAGGAGAACGGGGCTTTCTTGGAGGTGGGGAGAATGTTGCCGGCGCCGCCGCGGCCGCTGCTGAATTTAGATGAGGTTTGGGGGAGACCGAGAGTGAAGAGGGAGGCGGGGCCTCGGGCGTTGCTACCGTCGGTGGTCTTGGGGGCTTTGAATGTGTTTCCTGCTCCGCCGCGGCCGGAATGGATGAATGAGGATGTGGCGACGTGAGGGTGAGGTTCGGTGACTTGGTATCGGGTTGTCATGGTTGCGGGTGTGGTTGTTTGTTTGTTTAGTTGGTTGTTGAGGGTGTAGATGTTGGTTTGGTAGTTGATTGAAGGGTGTTTGAAAGTATTCAAAGGTTATGATATGAGTACTTTTTGAAGATTGGTTGATGAGGTGGTAAAGTTGATGTGATGTGATGTGATGTGATGTGATGTAGTGAAGTAGTTTATGGTTGAGCGTGGTAAATGTTTAGGTTGTAAAGTGAATCGATGATGAAACGATAGTAGCTTTCCAATTGTATGAGTACGTGGTAGTAATAGTAGGAGTTTGATATTGATCTGATGTATTTGAGTAATAGTAGGTAAAAGCAGAGGAATGTGGGCCAACGGTTTCTTATATCCTTTTTCTCTTCAATCCTTTTATGATTACTCCTCACTTTGTATATAGAATACATACCTAGTGCAGGAGTGCAGGTGACTCTTTTTCACAATACGAGTCATCTAACTAAAAATAAACAAAAGGTTTTTTTTCCCTTTCATTATTTCCTTGTTCAAGAATCTCTCTTTCAAATTTTCCCACGCATTTCGCATTCTAAATTTCTCACGATGTTTGACACTTTGCAGTTAGAGGTAACCGCTCTCCGCTTTGCCGTGAACTAAACCAAGGGACATGGATAACATCAACCTTGGGAAGTCATTTTCCATAACAATCCCTCGCACGTACCAACTTCCTACCAACCAATTTGAAGCAAAGTTGCCAAAGTTGTCAAAGTTCCCAAAGTTCTCGCACTCGTGATGAATTTTGTGGTTACTATTACGAAATCACTGAGCGCTAGATCCTTCTATTTCCATTCGCTTAAGGAGAAAATGCTGGAAAATGATCATTTTTAGCTTCTTCCTTGTCTATCCTGGTTCGTGTGATCCTGGGCCTCCTGGTCTTGTCCCTGGCCTCTGAGCAAACCTGGGGGTAATTGAAATTCGGACATCCAGTCGATCTTGCAGCAATGGCAACATCGTGAGAGACTATAGGGATAGTTCCAATTTCGTCAGCAATTTCGCATCAGATCTCTCATGCGTGCCAACGTGCCAAGTCGATGAATTGAGCAGAGAAGAAAAGTTACGCTTGGGACAAGTTACGAATTGGCCATGTGGTGTGTGTGGTACGGTGAGAGATTTCCTTGAGTGTCACTGAGAGTGTCAAAGAAAGTGGCACCATGTATGGGGGAGATGAGTTGATTTGTTTCTTATGCGTTTGGTAATTGTTGATCAAGTAAGTCTATGTATGTAGGTATGTACTTGACTCCTTTTGTATGTAAGTATCTCTACGTATCAAGTGTGCCCATGAAAAACGTGCTTCGTGTTATGGAAAACATCATTTCACAAGAAATCATTGAATTGTCTTGTCAACGATTAATATAATATCGCCATATATCGCCATAATCTTTCCAGATCTCATCAATTTTCTGATATATGTAAGCTTACCCATCAACTGCAGGTGTTGAGTCGTACTCGGGTAACCTCACCTCACCTAACTAACCTAAACTACGAAAGAGCCTCGTCTTACCGCCAATGAGCTTGTTTACCTGTCTGTACCTAGAGTTCTGTACCTAGGTAGTTATCCAATTCAAAATTCTCCGCCCGGCTTTAGATTTTCAGGTACCGTACCATGAAAAGCCAAAATTGTGTGCTGACAACTTATGACAAGGGCTATATTCCGCAGTGACGGCGAGATGGCGAGATGGCGAAATGGCGAAATGATGGCTTAATGTCTCAATATCTCAATATCTCAATGTCTCAATGTCTCAATGTCTCAATGTCTCAATGGACTGTCATTTTAATGCCATCATTTAATAGAAATGAACCAATGAGACCATTGTATTTAGAGACATTTTCTCTTCTGTCTCTTTTTCCTCCCTTGTTTTCTTTTTCTTCCTTGAACATCTTTCCAAATAAACCTTTCCCAGCTCCTCAAAGCTCCATAGAATTCAGAGTCAGAACTGAAAAGAGATTTTCTAGTGATGTCAACACACGGAAAACTTTTAATCCATTCCCCACAACTTCACAAGCTCACCCCTTACCAATGTAGAAGCAACAGGGCTGAAGAACACCGCTTCATTCTTCTTCCCTTGTTTTCCCCCGCAAAATCTTAACGCCCATGAAAGAAATTTTCATTAGATCCACATATGTGCATTAGACAACATTGACAGCGATCAGGAGTTGAAACGCAAGATGGAGCAACGGATGGTCGAGACTCTTGCTTCTCAATCAATAGTCATCTGCCAACCGTTTCTAGCATTGCATGATTTGCATCTTGGAGGGGAAAAATGACTCCATCGTGAACTCGGGCTTCAAAGCCGGAATGCCGAGGGTTGAAATTTTGAATAGGAGACCGAGAGCGAGGATAAAGTTTAAACGCGTACACTCATTCATTCCACTTTGATCGCTCACATTCGCCTTGTCCATAATTTCATGAAACCGAGGCTACCCATTACAGGCATTGACAGCTCATATGACCTCGCAATAAACAAAATGTGAAAATTGGAGAGATCCTAGAGGATACATTCGATGCTTCATCGGTTCGGTGCGGCGCGGCGCCCACTCGAATCAATTGACTTTATGGCCTAACCGGCGAACAGCCAAATACGATCGATTTGATTTCTCACCAAAAATAGGAGGCGCTTCGTTGGATGACAAAATCGCACACTCAAATTACATGCCAGAACATCTCAGTCTGAAGAGCCACTTGTCAAATCTGAATGAGAATATTGAAAGGAGACAGAGCGCAGGTAGGTATGTGATTTCCGATTTTGGTACACGATTTTCTTGGTCCATCGTATGGGTGGATAATTATTACGATCGTGTTTGAAGTCTTGAAACGACGGTTTGATCTTTCATCCCATCTTTCTGTCTGTATTCAAAGTCAATCATCCGTGAAGATAAACGCCCACTCATGCATACTTCTCTTCAAGCTTAGTATTGAGCTCAAATGCCATCGGATTTTAATACAGCTCGTGAACATGGATCAGTCCCATGTGTGTATTTTGTGATGATCTCGAGGAAATGGAATGGTACAAGGCGGGTTTCTATTTATATCTTTATTTTTTATTTGTCTCAGCAATGATTTGATCACAAGTTTGGGGAGACGAGGAAGAAAGGGAAGGAATCGTAAGTGCATACTTAGGTACTTGGTATACTTCGCGTGATGATAATTTTGGATTTTGGGAAGGAGTCGAGGGAGTCCCAACGCTAAGTGGCGGCCTTTGCTCGGAACAGCAGGTTTGACCACATCTTCAATTTCATTCTTCATCGCAAATTATCAAACATATGAGATTTCTATTTCATCCTCATTAAATTCCAACCAAAGTGATGTTGTTGAATTTTATTTTTTTTCACAAAACTTCTATTCCATCCCCATCAACATTGAATCAGAGGAATCTTGGTGAAGAAAACTATCATCACCAGGTTACCACACCCGCAGCAAATATTTCGAAGAATGAGAAATCATAGCAACATTCTATCCATCATGTGATAGAGTATTTCAACGTACAAGATGTATGATGGAGACAATATAAATTCCCTCAATAAAGCCTTATTGTCCTTGTTTAGTCTTTCGATGCACAAAGTTTGATCGCAAATGTCAGAACACGGATTTGCCAATCTTGTTTCTCTACTGTGTATGCATACTTCGCCACAGACGACAAAGCGAAAGAAACACACAGTTCCTGAATGTCGAGGTAAGCAATTTTTCTGGCTTACTAGGGGCAGAAATGGCTTGACCCAATACTGACTCCTCATTAACCAAGTGATATGAATATGCTGAGAGAGTATGACCAAAGGATTTCAAGGCTGAAGACCACCAGAAGTATAGGTTATCTTCAAGAGCGAAAGAAAGCAAACAAGTCAATATTGCACATTACAGTATTCTTGAAACCCGGACCCAAAATATCACACTTTTGCTCATGGAGGACGAAGATCAGGACATTCTTGGAATTGGGCATTTCTTTACCAAGTAGAATCTCATTCATACATACTAGTTACGTATGCTGACAGTCACATGCAGATCTTCTCCCTTCAATCGAACCATATTCCTTCATCAGCCAATTCTATGATAGTCTTCATCAGAACCCTACAATCATGATGTTGTTTAATGTGGTGCAACAGGATCAGTGGAAAACGCGTGACTGTGGTGTGGTATCACATTGAGACTTAGTGGATCAAAACCTTCTTGTTTTACCCATCTGGCAGTGATTGTTACTTTCAATCCCTATTGACGAATCTGGACACCGGAAACTACAGAAAATTACCAAAGAGGGCTCACGATGTACCTGATCGCCCTCACTCACATATTTTTGTCATATAGCACGACTTTCATGGACGTGCTGCGGAATTTATGGCCGTTCATATCGATGAGATGAATCAATCACACCGGACATATGTATAGTATATCTCCATGACCATGTCACAACTATGCGGAGAAATTCGTTCCATTTTTGTGGCAAGAAGATAGCAACGTACGATATTACAATCCCGAGGTTCATATAGTACACGCGAAAAGGCGGAAAAAGAGGAAATGTGACCCGCCCCGGAGAATGGATCAACTGATTCGCTTGACCTTCGTCTCGCATATCGATCACTACATTTTCTTTGGGAATATTATCAGTCAGATGGCCGGTTCCATAACGTCGGAACATTCTATTGACAAGTTGCATGCATCTACAGCCGCTAATTTCATGTTGCACTACTTAATCGTTCTGGCTGTATATCGAGATTTTGTGTTTTCTGTCACTTTCTGAGATGGGTTTTCTATTGTAAGCCTGCCGGTTGAGGTGTGCTCCTCATTGGGGATCAAACGAACGAACCAAGGGAAGAAATGGCATATCGACAATGGTTCACCAAAAGAAGGTGTGGAAATGCTGGCACCAATCAAAAAAAGATGAAGTTTTCATTGGTTGATTCGAATATGTTGTGCAAGCATTTTCTTAGTGAGGTTATGGGCTTCAAAAGCATGCGCCAGTATTTGGTGATTGTTTTCACCCAATGTGGAAGACACCAATGGTCAAATCAGGAAGCAGTTGAGGATTCCCTGGAATTATTTGTCAAAGACCTTATCCTTATCGGCAATGAGCTAATTGACTCTTGGCCGCAGTACAAGATTTACTCACACGCGTTTGCACTATTGCCATCAGTTATGTCGTGCCCCCCTGTGGCGTATTTGACACTCACGGGAAGCGAGAACAATCGAAGAAGAAAAGTTGGAACTCGTTTCGAATTCAATCTCGAACACCGAATCATGTTCATTCATTCAAAATATGGCAATGGGAAAATCAATTCATTTTATCCGCAATCATCAGAAAACTCCTAAGGGCACCTCCCATACTCGCAAAAGTAACGCGGTACGCTTTCCCACCGTCGACACCCAGAAATAATGTCCCCGTGACAAATTTCAGCATTTGTACGCCATCCATGTTCCTTGTGCTTCCTCCAATCGCCTCGACCAAATCGGAACCCCTCATGTAAATAAACACTGCGAATGAAGAGTACAGAGATACAATATCCCACGTGCAATATCTGAAGACTGGTATAGGTTGACGAACCAAGCTCGATCGAAAAACTGGAGTTTGTGCGGTTAAGTCTTCATCTCAAGGTAGCACCGAATTTTGCTGTAAACCATAAGGAAAGAATACGGAAAAGGCACCTTGACACCAGCAAAAGGACTGTCACCCCCCTTCGATAGTATGACCTGTTGAAATACTCTTTTAATTGGCTTCTCAAAGTGTGGTACTCGCAACTGAGAAGGTTTTCGAACCATCGACTCCCGTCATGCCATTGTTCAGTATTCCGAATCATAAAATGACCCGAGTCACAAAGCTGCCCTTGTACATCCGACAAATTAGTTGCATCCCGATAGATTGATCATGAAGACACATCCTTCCGAAGCCGCAGAAAAGATCCGCAACCATCAACTCCATTTCTTCTAACAATCGGTCTCAATGGTACCCAATTTCGAGCCTTCTTCCGTCTGTCTTTCCGTGTCTACCGTTCCGAACAACCCTCGAATGGTCATGTATGACCGGGTCCTACTCTCCATGCTATAACCCTGAAATTTGGACCCCTTGCTTCATAGTTCCAGATCTCTGCTCAGTCCTAACCTGATTAAGGATAAATTTTAGGGCAAGGTATTCCATTCTCCACATTCGGGTCTAACCAGCGGGTGAACTGCTAATTCATTTGATACCGAAATCATCAGAAAAAATAAACGCCAAAATCTAACAAGGATAAAATTCGTCCCCTGTTTCCGACTCGCGGTACATCAGGAGCTCAGTTATCTGACAGTTCTGCCACTATGGCTGTTCTTGCTCCTTCCAGAAGAGTGCCTCACTTCCCGATTTCTATGAGCCGGTACAGTCTGCAGATTATTGGAATAGTAGCTTGCAGAACTGGAGTGATATGGGCAAGGGCGGTGAGATACTCCGGTGCCTCCGCAAGGATGACAAGGTGGTCTAAGACATCTTGTTAGAGTCTATGAATCTGAAAAAACAATAAGGTTGGTGTGGAAGTGAAGCTTGGCATAGAGGTATTAAAGATGAATACATACTCTCGTGGGGAACCACCGCAATACTGACAATTCCCTAACACATTGCCATTGAAACAGCAGTCATAGGCTTCGCTAGAGTACGACATTATAGAATTGACGATACAAAGTTTGATGGTGCTCAACTGCGGTAAAGGTGGAATGGTATGTGAAGATGGATATATCTTCGATGATGTCAAAGCTAGAAGGCTTCCAATAATTCAGAGAAGTCTCTTAGCTTGTGTGTGGTCGTAGGAGTAAATCACAATTTCTTCGAAGTACAAAGTGGAGGGTTGTGAGGATTCCAAATTTCTCACTTTGTTGCAGTGATCTCCATTCATCTTATACATCTCATATTCTCTAGCATCTCCCATCAGCTCCCATCAATGATAGAACCCCCACACTTTATTGAGGTCAGTCAAATTCCACCCCTTGCATTTTCTTCCTCACCGTCAGCTTCTGTTTTTAGCAGAAGAGAAGAAACAGTATACACCGTCAGATATCGTGAGAAATCACCCGGATAGATCTATGCACATGGTATTAGGCACCACTTTCCTCAACAGGCCTCACCGCTCCTACTTGAATTATTGAAACAAGGAAAATTCTTGTCCTCTTCTCTTTTATCTCTGTCTCTCATGCCATCATTGGCTACTCGCGAAGCAAGAGCAATTTATGAGGGGCTCAAATATGATCCGCTGATCTGATATCTCTCCTAGTGGATATGCCGGTAATATGCTAATACTTTACAATATAAAACTTGGGGGTTATTTTGATTACGCCATCGTTGCCGATAACTATGGATTGGCTTCTTCCTATCATTTTTGATTTACCAGCGGAGTGGACCTTACACAACATAAGATTCTATGAGCAGAGACGTTTTACAGATGACTTTGGCTTGAAATTCAAAAAGTCGAGGGCGCTATGCGTATAGCGCCAAAACGGCCGCTGCGAAACAGAGATTAAGTACCTACTGGAAGAGCAAACCTCCGACTTTCGTACGAGATAACACAAATTTTTTGTCACCCGAAACGATCTGAACTCGTGGGTGCTTCACGATACCTGTTAATCTTTCAATTGCTTTAATTAACTGTGTACTCTCGCTAATAGTAAAGTAGCAGGATTGGGATAGCTCAACCAATGGCACGAATCTTGCACACACTAAATTGACGGATAAAGTACCATCGATATGTTGCCCCTTGTCTCCAATGCACAGAAGCTGGCTCCAAACCACCGGTTTCATCTAACATTGTAGTGGTGCCTCGTACCCCATTCCGAGACTTACCTCCCACTCTTCCTAAATACCCCACCACAAAACTAGACCTTCAGTTCTCAAAACAATCATTCATACATTTCATGATAGTTTTTGGAGCGAATTCTGTAAGTTCAACCAACCCTATTATTTACCATATACAACACCGTCCCGGAGACCTCGAGGTTTCATGCACATAACAGGCGGTTAGCCGTAACTCGGGATTACAACATAAGTGGCTGACTTGGTCATTCTTCTATTCGCTGATATGCAACGACTTATGTCGTGCGTGCGAGACGCTGTGCAACCGCCCCTCGAAAACGAGGAATTGATAGTTCCATACATTCGATTTAACTCCCGTCGATTGTAAATCGCAAATCGAAATGTCATATGTATAGGATGATCTACATGAGTATGTAGGGGTTGTAATCCATTATCATCATTGTTATCATTATGTGTGGTTTTCAAGGAGGTTTGGTAATGAGAGGAGTCTCGTTGAGTGGGGGTTATGCCAAGTGTCGTGATGACAATAATGAACCCTGGAGAAGTAGGAAAGAGCCTTATTCTCACATTGGCCGAATGAGCGCTAGCCACGAAGTTTTTGTGCAAGTTACCAAGGTGTAAGAAGTAATAGATGGCGAGGCGCTCGCTTTCCTTCCCCAATTACACCTTTTACTTTCTCCCCTTTCAAGCGAATCAGTAGATCAAACCTGTCGAAAGTTGAAGTATAAACTTCCACTCTAATATACATCTTTGTACCACATCAGTCCATTCTGTGTCAATTACTACATTTTACTTTTTAATCTTCGCATTGATCTATCCACAGATACTCTCTACCCACAGACATTCTCATATGGTTATCGACTTCCTGCACATTTGACTGGTGTGCGTCATCGATGGAAACATGATAAATCGCATGTCACCGCTTCTATGCACATTTTTCTGATCCCACACGGTATGGTCCCTGCATTTGCAAATTCTTTTCAGACAATCTCAAGACTGATAAGATATAATCTATCATACCATTATCCTCAGGGCTGAAGGTTGGATTGCATATTAAAACGCCGTTTCGTTCGTCGGAGTCGGGCAGAACCCGTATATGTGCGTATCCGCTATACGAACCGCAATACTACCTGGCTAGTTCCCCCATTTGGAAGATGATTCAATCAACTTTCCTAAGTCAGAACAATCATACCCAAGTACACCTTCCCGAGGCCATGGAACCAATTGTTCAAGTACCAATTGAGCCCTGCCGTCGGAAAGAAGAGGTCTCCGACAGATCGCAATCGACGCAAGTGTCCGTTCCTTCCATCCATCCTTCCTTTCAATTCGCGTTTCATCCGATCAAGATCACTGTTTCTTCATGATTAGATATGATAAGTCTAATTTAACTTCTCCACTCGGACATAAGCTAGTCTTAGTGGCGTGAGTTGAAACGGACAATGGTTGCATAGTATCGCGATCCTTTCAGTCGGGCTCTTCACCGTATACGCAAGTAGCCGTTAGGTATTATATATGCTGAATCCATGAATTTCTTAGCTCTGAAGATGACTTCAAGGATCTCCATACAGACATAGATAAGTGTCTTGGTTCTTGCAAGGTCCCTCGTGGATCCTTACAGTCCTTCGCATATTGCATGCATGGTGACGATGGTTTCAGATGCCAACGGTAAGCTATTTGACCGAATCGAAATAACCGGTATCCGAAACGTTACGTCGAATAATGATGTACGTCAACTTATGAGCCCGACTCCCTTCGTTGCTTCTTATTCGCTTGCAAACATCATCACTATCCATATTCTCACCACATGCGTCAAATCATACCACCTTGATAGCAAAAGAGCCCCCAAACACACATTCGTTCAAAACTTACTCACCACCCCATTTCTTCACAAGTTGACCAATCCCCTTCTTGCAGAAATAGACACTGTGGTTATATATCCCGTGAAATGGCTTTCTTACACGCATAGATGGGTAATATATATGTGCAGCCATCCGTTGTGCATATTGCATGCAGTCATGTATGCGTATTATGTGCTTACTTTCTCTTCGGTTCTTTGTCTTTCTGTCGCGCTCTTTCATTACCCCACTACGCAGTTTCTTGAATTTGGGGTTTGGAAGGAGGAAGATGAGTCTAGATTGTGTTGATGATTGGGGAAGGTGCGAATTTGGGGGTGGGGTTGTGGGTTGTGGGTTGGGGGTGGTATAGTGTAGTTGATTACTAGTGTATTACTCACACGGTGAGTATGGGTAAATAGATGGGTAAATGAGAGTTTGTATTGGTATATGTCGCTGTGATATGATGTGATGCAATGTAATGTAAGGTGTTCATTGTATTGTGGTGGAGATATATGAAGAGTGAGAGTGAGTGAAGGGGGGAATTGGGAAGGATGATGATGATGATGATGATATTCGGTGAAGTGATGTGATGTGCATGTATGTAGTATATATGCATGTATCAGGGGAGTATTTGCATTGGATTCGATTCAGCTCGGCTCAGCTCGGCTCAGCTCGGCTTGGTGGAGGGTGATGAATTCGATTGGATTGGATTGGATTGGAAAGGATTAGATTTGATCAAGTCTTGTGAGAATAAATGCAGAATGTGCGTGGAATGGGAAGGAAAGAAAAATATTGTAGTTGGAAGGAAGAGGGAAAGCGTGGTAGTAGTGAGGCTGTGGGTGGGAAATGAATGTCCTGGGAGGACATGAATCTTCATCCTCAGACCCAATACGAAAAATAGTGATGTACATGAGGTGGGTTCCCTAGTATTGAGAGATAAGTTACTCCTCTTTTTCCAGTTTGCTTAACAAGAAGATCATGATCCTCGGCAAAGGAGAAATAGCTCATTAGCGCTAGACGCGTATCTATAATCCTCTAGAGATTGGAGGTTAGGAATGTGAGGATGATTTGGAAATGGATATTGAGAATGGTGTCTTGATGGATTTGGTTGATGTTGTATGGAGTGTGGAGTGTGTAGTGCACGGGATTTCTGACTTGATTTGGATATCGGGGAGTTTTTTTTTATTCCTATGGAAGGGGGGGGGAGTCATTAGGGTTTTTGGTGCTTGTTTTCTAGTATACTCATCTTTATATACCTACCTATCGCTTTTAGTTTGCGTAGTTGAAACTCGCGGCTATGGAAATTTTGAGTTGAGATTTCAAATTTGATGGAGAGATGGAGTTTTGCTATCTTTTTTTTGTGTACGAGACTGATTTTGGTAGAGGGAGTGAGTTAGTTGATGATTACATATCTTTTACTGGAGTATAGTAGGTGATCATGCTTCTTGTCTCTGTTTCATGACGGGTTTGTGAACGTTACTGGCCTGCTTTTGGTAGGGTAATGTATATGTTCTTATTTCATGGTAGCTATCTATTCATCATTGTGTATCTTCTTTGGCTTCTGGGATAAGGTTAGTGCTGAATTTCTGACTTGGAGATATGTGTTCTAGTATGAACATTTGTAGAAATTTCAAGAGATAGATTTTTGAGGTTTTGGTGTTCGTGTTAATCTTGGTATTGATGTTAATGCTGCTACGAAATCATTTTAATTTGTGTACTATTGAGAATAGTGGATCATCATGAATGACTGGTTCTTGTATCTAGCTAGTATAAAGGAAGCAATTTATAATCCTACTTTCTACATGCTAGCTACTTTGGCTTACAACAATCATATGCAAATTCGACTCTCCACACTTATCCCTCTCAATAGTCAAGTATGTCTAACAAGTCTTGTCCTCCAGTGAAAGAACGTTGAAATTCCTGGTGTCCTTTTCCCGTAAAGATGTATCAAATCCCTCTAAACCAGCCCCATCCCTAGAATATTTCAAAACAAATATAACCATAATTCACATACCTTTCAAAG